AATTAACGATCATCGATGAATCTTGAATCATTGAAAGTGGAATAAGGGTGACCATGCCATATTCGATTGCCTTTTTAATGAATTCTCAAAAATCCCGAGACAGAAGGGTCAACAAAACGCTTTCATTGAAAGCCTAATGATTGATACCCGACAACCAGATCGTTTCAAGAAGTAAAATTTCTTGTATGCTGGATCCTATTTGCAACGCACATAGCTAAAATACGAATCTTTAACTTATTATCATTTTGAAGATTGATTAAAATGATTACTACTAGCATAAAGACCAGCTTTCCTTATGTATTCAATGACAGCAAAGGGAGTTGTGAACATTATCGATCTTTTAGCCGCTATAGCAGCTCGAATATTTGTTGAACTAATACTACAAGGACAAACATCATCAGCAAGAATCAACACTTGATCAACGATGTCTTGTAAACAAGACATCGATTGCAGCGTTCGCACAGGATCGGCGCCCTCACGTCTGATAACGATCAGACCGAATTTGGTGATGATGTCGCGGACATCATTCGGATGCCAGAGATTCTCTCCATTCGGGAGAATCCGCGTGAACGACTCAACAACGTCGCCACCGACGACCAACGCGAGACGAACGTCACCTTGCAGTCGATTTCGGGCGTCTTGATGATGATGCTGCAACACGGACAGTGTCCTTGACCATGACTTCTGTCGACACTCCCAACCATCAGCTCGGAGCCATTCCGAGTGCGACGTAGCTGCTTCGACCATAGCCAGACGATGATGCGCGGAGGCAAGATTCGGCTTGTTGAATGAGTCAGCGACAGGGCTCAATAATCCCTCGAGCACTTTGCAATTGAATTGCTTCTCCAAGTGATCTCGAGCCACTTCCATCATCCGCATGTGCATGATCGTGGGTGGATTGAACGAACCACATGCCAACAAAACCACTCGTTGAGAGCCCTCCCACCGCCACATCTGAAAGATGAACCACATTTCGAGGCATTTGGCATCCATTATTTACATTGACGTCTAACATTATTGACAAATAACTATGAAGCACGTGCTTCTAATCAATTGCAATACTGGAATTACACGATCAGCATAAGGCAGAGCTACACGAAACACAATGATCTTCCAATGACTGCAACGAACAATATTGGAGAAAACTGGTGAGAAAAAACTAGAGTAGAAAAATTGCAGTGCTAGGAGCCTCAACGATCTACAGCAAAACGTACTGAAACTAGGATTCCCCCGAAACGTTCGATTGCGACAAACGTATAAAAGCAATCGAGACAAAGCGAATAAAAGTAAGGACAAGCGAATAAAAGTATGTCATAAGGACATGACCCGAGTCACACTTTAAGTCGAACTGTACGAGAGCCCATTTCAGTGCCTCGGCTCATCCTCCACAAAACCTTGACTATAAGATGCCGATTAGGGCCCCCTTACCCCTGTACAATTCCCCCCCCCCTACTTCATACTACTGCGTCCATGACCAACATTTTTGGGGAATCGAATGAAATTGCGAAAAAGGTTGTAAACGCTTTCACTGCAGCAGCAATCATACTCACCTCCTCCTTTCATCAATTTTCTGACTCCCACAAAACGCTGTGTAAATAAGGACTGCCCCATTATTGCCCTATCTTTTCATCAGATCATATATGCTATATTGAAATAATCTGCAATCATTATCTACGACACATTATTTTGCAAAAGTATGATATAATATTTTACCCATCTTGGTTGCTGTGGCACCTCTCATTCCCCATTTGGCACCCTCTCATTCCCCATTTTATTGGAAAGATAATACTTCGTAGACTTGGTAGAATGCCTACAGCAGGAAAATGCTTTATGGATAGCCTCGGGGAATTCCCTGGAGGGTATTGCCCTTTGTGACATCCCCTGCTTCTTGCGTGCGTCCTTGCACCAATCGACGCATCTTCAATGGAAATGAGCGAAGTGTGGCTGCGTTTCGACAAGCAACCATATAAACAATGGCAGCTACATATTAGCGCATGAGTGAAACGTGAAAAACGCGAATTCCTTTACATGGCATGAAATTTTTTCACATTAAATATAAGAGAAACACTAATAATGATGGTAAGTACCAAGGAAGAATTTAATCGTCAGATAGCAGCGTTTCCAACGTAGTGGGGAAATAATGGGTCCGATAAGGTGTCGCCCAATTCCATTTCCATTTCATCGTAAAAATTCGTTTCGTTGGTCACGATAAACCCTTTTATCTACGCCGTGAATGGAGAGCTCAACTTGAAGAAAAACAGAGCAATGATGTTTACAGAAATACTTTAATTAGGGCGGAAGTGGTGTAGTGGCAAGTGGCACGCTTACCACGCGAGCGGTCCGGGGATCAAATCCTGGGTCGTGAGTCGCCCGGGCCAACCAAGCCTTCCATCCCTCCGGGGTCGGTTAATTGGTACCAGACTTGTCTGGGAGGATAAAAAACACTGACTTGTACATCGGCTGGCCCCCGCAAGTCATTGTATAGGCCACATCGCATTCAAACGC